GGGGGGGGGGGGGGTGGGGTGGGTTGCAGTTAGCAACCAGACAGTGCAGACTAGTCGTAGCGATGGCCTCCAACCTACTAGCTCTGACACGCGTTCCGAAGCGATACCGTTCCCGCGTTCCGAAGCGAACTATTTTCTGCGTTCCGAAGCGACTCCCTCGCCCTACCACAGTGCTGAGCTAGCAGCCACACACACGGGATGCAGCCTGAGGCAGCAAAAGCTATAGGGAGGGCAAGTGGCCACGCAGCATAATTTTGGAGTGCAAGCCAGCAGTGCCAAGTGAAGTTGTAGCTGAAGGTGCTTGAGCCAGGTCAATCACAAGGATTGCCAGGGGTTAGCTCATCTTGACTTGTGCTTCTGCTTTTGGAAGCATTTGGCAACTGGTTGCTGCTGAGATTGCTCTTCGTTGCCTTTTGGCTTGCCTCCCAAAGTGGCTCTGTGCATGAACCTGTTGATTGCCTTTATGAGGCTGCTTGTTGCTAATGCTTGAGCTTAGTCAAGCTTAGTCAAAATGCCTCATGATGATGACTAGTGGTTCAACATTGACTGACACTGGCTGGGAATTTCCACTGTGTTCCAAAATGCAATGTGGATATTGCTTCACCACATTGGACATGACTTGACTGTAGGGTTGCCATGTAGAGGGAACATGCACTTGTGAAAGATATATTAAAGTGATGATAGAAAATGGTTTGCCAGCACCGCAAATATGAGGTAGGACTTCTGTCATTTCACAAACTAACATAGTAGAGCTAGAGACGTGCTGATCGATCATCTCCTCGGCTGTATTCATATCCCTTAGCTAAGTAGCCCCTACTTAAGCCAAGTAACCCTTACTTAGCTAAGTAGCCCTGGCCCCCGCTCGAGCCTCCGTGATGGGAGGGAGAGCGCCAAGAAAGACAAACGCTTTGGTTGTTTTAGATATATTTTGTGCGCCTCCCCCTGTATCGCCGAGACTAGAGCGGGCCAGGGCTACTTAGCTGAGAAGCTAGGCTGAGGGGCTACTGTACTTAGCTAAGGGATATGAACATATGCTTGAACATGTCTGAACACCTTCAACATGCAAGTACTAAAACATTGGTTGTCAAAAACACTGGAAAACACACACCCGTATAACGTCCTTCTCTGTTTACAAAAGAACATGCCAAATTCTTCTTGGGTGTATACCCTGGGAGTCAAAGACTATACAAAGAACTGTCTTTAGGTAGCCCGAAAAGGAATTTCCTTTACTTCAGTCGGTCAAAAGTCTTTGGACTTCTAGGGTATATGCTGACATCATACATTTTTGCTTCTGAAAGGCTCCTTGTCAAATCCGCCCGCAGAACATTCTGAGACTCTGAGCTGCTTCTTTCTGTTAACGTCCCTTGTTAAAACCGTATCAAACTCTTGTCCAAAACAACTTTCCAAGGGGTTAGTCCGCAGGCACTCTGGAATTTGTTTGTGATTTCCTTAGTGGTTTGGGATTAGACAAAAGGAATGTTTCTATGTTTTTCTGATGCAAACAGGTTCACCACTGAAACACCGATTCCTCTTTGATATCCTTTTTGGAAGAAATTAACTCAGCCACCAGGATGGCCTACTCTTTTTCCGTTGAAACGCAGCTCAAGAACATAACATAATCATCATTTTGTTTCCCTGGACCAAACTCCTGCAATCGCTTTGCGGGAGCTCTCACTATAGACCATCCCTGAATTGTTTGACAAATCACGATTCAACCTTCTGCCCTTCTGCTTGTGTGAACCTTTTGAGCAAACACAAATGCGTTAGCACTGGTGAATTGAACGCCCCAGCAGATTACCAGCGCAACATAGACGTGACACACTGTTTGAACAGGAAGTCCCTCAAAAGTGAATGCCCAATGAAGGGAGGCTTCGTCTCTGGACGATGTCGGTGACATATCGGGTTGCTCCAGGAAACTCGAGTACTGTACTTCAGAGCGACAGGAACAAGAAAACCTACAGTAGAGCCACAAGTAGGGCCTACCGGACGTTCAATACGCTGGATATCTTTTTTCTTTTTCAGAACCTTTGTACCTTGGCGAACATCGCGGAATGACTTCAGACCACTGGCAATGTTCACTCAGATTTTACTGCTTGACATTGCTTGTATCTGCGTGTGTTATCTTTGCCCGGCTTCACCCGTCAAACTCCGTCCTGCCTGTAAAAAGCCCTGTGTGACGTTCTCAGGAGGTAAGGCCCCACCTCAGCAAACATGTTTGACCAAAACGATTTGGGAAGAAAATGACGAATTGTATTGCTCGGGAGAAGGCCGAGAAGGCAACATTTTGTAGCCATCAACATGCAGACTCACACGAGTGTCATTGAACGACCAGGCGATACAGCTATACAAGAAGGGATGCGGGAGTGGGAGGGGCTGAGATTGTGGTCGGTGTTGCACCGCGGGCATCCAATCACCGTGTGATTCAATGGGGGAGGGGCAGGAGATGCCGGGAGGGTGCGCTTTGGTTGGCGGGCAGCTTTCCTGGACCTTCAAGGCCTACAATTGATGCCCCTGCCTCCCTCAACCGCTATATAGTATATATACAGTAATTAGCCTTGCACTGTTTGACCCTGTTTGATCTATTTGGCCTGTGTCCTAGAAGCTAAAGGTTCCGAATGGCCTGGTCTGGCCCTTTTCGAGAGCGATCTGCGAACCCCGGTCTTCGTTCGAATGAATTGGGATCAAGCGATTATGTCTCTTGCCGATTTCCAACGCTTAGGATCCTTTGATTTCTTTTGCCACTCTCAAACTTCAAGAGATCGAGACCACTTACACCGTTATCTTTCGACCGAGCAGACACGAATCGACCGACGAACCGTTTGTCTCTGACTCCGAAGGGCCCACTGTAATGATGAAAGGAGTTGGCGAGGACATGTCTTGCAGTGGCTGGTCGATGCCTAGGTCGAGCCAAAAACGCAAACTGAGATCTTGTGATCCTGTACATGTGTGCTTTCCAGAATTGTCCACTGGTATGTGACTCCATGCTTTTGATGGCAAAAACAACTTCCCAAATTCCTGTACTTAGTGGGTGCTGTGTCACTTTGGGGAAGTGTACAAATGTGTTGTGTAATGTACTTATATAAACGTAACATAGGCACGCACACGCACACCCACACAGGATGTTTCGGTTGACTTTGCTTCCTGCCAGGTTGGCCTGCACCAAACAACAAAGCTCCCTCAGCAACATTTCGACAAATAGCAACACTCTGCAAGATGACATCGATGAGATGTAATTTCACTATCCGAGTGGTTGCAGCGTTTGTTTGGCCTGGCTCACAGAAAATGCAACATTATCTTGTAAGCTAGCACAAATCCTGGTATACGAGGAGATACAAAGATTGAACAAGGAATTCCCATAATTTCTGATCTTTTTGTCTTTTTTCTTTGCCCTTTCACAATGAAAGACTGAACACCCCAAAAACTGCAAAAGCGAGCGTTTCTGGCCAGGATTTTCCGCAAAAACGCATGATGGCTACAGGATGTACTCCAATCCAAAACAGAATGAGCCTGAGCAAAATTTGTCTACCAGGTATTTCGATGCTTTCTTTTCAAACGGTTCTTAAGGGTTTCGATGTGCACATCGCATCCCATCGACGAGCGATGTAACCCAGGCACCGACGACCTCCTCCTGCTCTGGCTGAACGAGGCCTGGAGGCGCAAAGGCGGCCTTAGGCGAGGCTTCAGAACTGACCTTTCTAGACCTTTCTAGACCGAAGGCCCTTAACCATTCCTTCACTTTTCAACATTCTTCCATCAAACATAGTATTTTATCTTTGGATGCTTTTCCTCATCTGTCTTCTTGCTTTAAGGTTTTCCGTTTGAGCTTAAGACCATTCCTTATTTCTTCCTTGGACTTGTTTTGAGCATTTTATTTTGTTCCGTTTCTTCTTCAAAACATGTCTTTATCCCTTTCTTTGTCTTTAGACCTTTAGACTTCTTTCCCTGTAGACATTTCTTGTTCCTATTTTCTTTGGACTCTTTTCTTTTACACAATTCTTTCTCCATTCACCTTTCTTCAGACCTTTGATGGATGGAAGAGTTGTCTTGAAAACCACAGTTTGTACCATTTGTACCCTAAGGTCCCTCAGGGGAACTCAATGATCCGGGCTTCAAGATATTTAGAGAACTGTTTTTGCCGGAAAGCACCCAATCGGAGGATCCCAACTTCTTCCCCATGTCAAGCATCGCAATAGAGCTCTGAGAAAAAGCCCCGGCGCGTGGTGAGGCACAAGCCCAGGGCGCCGCTAGCTGCGAGTTGAGCGCAAGGCGAGGCACCCAGGGTCATTGGGGACATCTGACCAATTCTGCACCCAACAGAAACATTCGTTCGTCGAAGCGACATTCTGTGAGCAACAGTGACATCCTTCTCCAGTCAATATTTCTTTTGAGGGCAGTGTCGAGGATGCCTGAGAATTCAGCTTTGGTGCGGGTCACGAACTAGACCCCAAGATCGTTCATAGGATCTGGCTTATGCAAAGGTTTTATTTCCGAATCACATGATGTTCTTGCAAGTCAGAGCGGTGGTTGGTTGAGAGCAGCCCTGGAAGCTTGCTGGTCAGGCGCACACACCTCTGCCAATTCCAGAGTTTCTGGCGGCTTTCTGGCTGACCTTCTACAACTTAACGAATTAAATGACCTCAATCCGCTGGTAACGGCACCCAGGGACTCGTGGACCCCCCGATTGGACGCCCTTAGGCATTGTGGCAACCGATATCGTGACATGGCAGTGGGACAAAAGCAGCCCGCCCCCCTTGCGATTTCCAAGGCCGCCTGATGGAGTCACAAAGCATGAGACGCTGGTCTCTTGGGTATTGGCAGAAACCACCTGCGATGAGACACGGCGTGATGTGACTGCTAGTGTGTTGGATGTTTCATGTGGTATTGAACATCATGGGTTGTGCCTTTGGTCTGTCAAAGGGCTGGTTTCAGGAATGATTGATCTCAAAACATCTGCTCCTGCGCTGAAACCCTTCATTCAAGAATCTCTGCAGTTTGTGCACATATTTTGCCCACAGCTACCATGTATAGCATCCATAGATTGCAAACCAATGGTAGAAAAAGACAGGTCTGAAGATCTAAAATGAAACAGGAAAGCACATGTCATGGTCTACAGAAAAAAGGACAACACAACATATCAACATATATATACATATATACACTCATAAAGAAGTAATATACTTGTAGCACAAATAGGCACTGCATACACTACTTCTCCGCTTTGAGAAGGCCTCTATCACTTAGGCCCACATTGTTCGCACAACAAACAACATGAGCTGGGGAAAAATGGGACATCAAAGGAACCCAAACAAAGCACAAGGTGGCTCTTCCATCATCACCTCTAAACATATGATGAACATTGTATGATGCACTCTACAAGGCCATGGTGAATGGTTCCAAATCGTCATCTACTTCAAGATTGATTCGATGCCCCCAAAAGAGATTAAACTGATGGTGGAAGAAATTCTGTGTCAAACAGCGTAAATGCAATTGTTTTCCTTATTTCGCGCAGTGCGGGTTTTCTTCTTCCTCCTGCACAAGTGCGCACAGCAAAACTACAATGGCTAGCATCCCACACTGAAAGCTTTTGCAAGCCAGGTTCTGTCTCAAACAACTCAAGGCATCATCAACCAAGAGCTCTACAAACGAGGGGTAGAGGGTGCCTCCAAGACTCACTTTTCATGTTAAGGTTAAGACATTGGAGACTGCTGGCTTAGCGCTGTCGCAACCAAGCGGCTGTGGCCATGCAAAGGTTCGGGGCACCGCTGCTCAGCAATCGTTGAAGTTCACGCTCCTGGCATTCCTTGTGATGCAAAGCTCTGTAGAGATGCAGAGCGATTCGGAGTGTGAACAGTTTGGCAGGACGCCCTTGTTTCAGTGGAGCCCGACAATGGTTCTAGCAACGTTTGTTTGAAAACCGCTTAAGCATAAATTTGTCCCCAAATCTACGAACCAAATCGTATTAAATCGTTGAGCCTGAACCCTTCTGCGTCCAAACCAAAGAAACGACTACTTGGTAGCTACCCTTTACATCCGTTCACTACTCCATCTTAGCTTACTTACTTGTTAGCTCACCCTACGACCTACCCTCTGGGCTTTTTAGAGCACATGTGGTTCCTGGCCTCTCAATCCAAAAAAGGATTGGTTGGACACATCTTGCTTCTGTATGTATAGATTCAAACCTCCATCTGACTCTAGTGGTCTAAATCTGAATCTAAACATCCTAAGGCCCAAGGAAGCCCCTCTGAACATAACATCTCCACAGACTCTAGTCTAGACCATAAATCTCTTTCCCGGAGTACACCCCAAGAACTCATCAAATGTGCAAAAGCTGAACGCCGAAACAATGAGCCAAGCACAACAAACAATACAGCCGAGGAACAAAAACACCAACACCACGCAACCCATCACAAAAAGCAATACAAATCATAAATACAGCTCCAAACATTCACAAAAGACATACACAATCTAAAGACACACACACACACAACGATACATGCACATTACAGAAACAAATATGTTTAGTACTCTCAGGGCATACCTGAGCTGGCACTCTTAAAACCACATCCCCCCAAACATCCAAACCCAACTCTCTTGGCAAAATGAAAGTGAAAATTATCAAGCAAGTACGTGAGCGAGCAATTGAACGATTGCGTCCGTACGCTAGGGGCAAAACCGTGCGTGCAAGCAGAAATAAAGAACACCGCTCACGCAAGCCTGTTTATTGCCTGGGGCATGATGTTTTCCCCACTGTTTCACCTGGCTCAGACCCGTTTCAGGCCCATTTCAGTTTCAGGGGGACTTTGGCAAGCAACACAGGGAAACAAAAAATATGGAAAGGAACTCTTCTCTCTCTCTCTCTCTCTCTCGCTTCAATGGTGATGTTTTTGTTGTTGTCTGGTAAACTTGGTTTTCTTGCACGCGACATGTTGCTCTTTGCGCACGCAAAACTTTTAACATATGCATTGCATGCAAGGGGCCAGGGTCAAACAAGTATAAAAAACCTTCCCCGCAAAGGGAAACACCTAGAACGCAGTTCGATGTTTATACTGAACCTAACATTGGCCGCGGCCTTCCACAAAGACAAACGGGTGACCACATAATTCCCTTCCCTTCGTCCCCCATAGCGGTAGCCTCTAACTAATAGGAATGGCCAACCTAAAAGTGATGGCCTCCATGTATGAGTGTGAATGGGCGGAATGAGTGGAGTGGGGCAGAAGGAGGGAGGTCGGCGAATCCGAAGAAACGGCAAAAAAGACTCATCCACCTCTCGTGGCTTCAGCCTGCCCTAAGACCGAAGATCGGTTCGGGGTTTGGCAGGTTTGACCCGATTTGCCGCTGGCGTGGCTTAAAGTTGGTTTGAGCACAAAAAGGAAGAACGGAAAGGTTGAGAAGCCTCACCGAGTCACCTCACCGAAAAGCCACTTCTTTTAAGCCGTCCGAGCTCTTGGCATTGGGCTGACCCCTTGATCTCCTGTGGTATCAGCGTTCAATCTGTAATAGGGGCTGCTATTATTGAAGGATGGTTCCAAGCAATGATACCTGTTGCCTTTTGGCTGTTGTACTTTCCTCCATTTGTTCGCGAAATGGTCAGGCCAGACAGTGTCCGTGGGAAACCACAGCAGCCCACCAGGGACTGCAGTTGGAAGAGTATGACAGGAATAGCGTTCACAACAAGTGCCAGCATCGAGAAGTACAAGAACGCCAGAACATCATATGAGTCAAATGTAAAGTGCACACAGTGCCTTGATTGCGTATGTTCCGTGCTGCTCTCACTGTCCACCACCATGCCGCTGACACCTCCGAATTGCGAGTGCTTACCCTCAGAAACCTAGCTATATACCGAGGGGGTTATCGTTTCCCTTCCCAAGCATGATCAGGAAATCAGAGTGAGCATCATTCTCGAGTTTGTACAGCTTGCTGACCATTGCCAAACTCAGTAATGAAACGCGTGGGTTTGAAGGATCCCTCGCATTCTTTTCGGCCAGTGGCCGCACGTACCTCAAGGTAATTGAAAGCTTGCAACGATGGTCGTTTGAACAAGTTCTCCAAGCTTGTTCACTTCAGAGTCCAGGTGGCCAGCGCCATGCGTGGCCTTGCCTCGGACCAGCCTCCCGAATTTCCCATTTTCGCTTCCTGACTTTCCAAGCTCGACAAACGAAATAGAAAGCTTCAGCCGCCCAAACCAAGCCAAGCACAGGCCGCTTTCAAGGAAACCAGGCCACCAGCTTTGCGTCAGCCAGTTCGAACCCTACCCCACCAACCTGTCTCCTTGGCAACAGTGGCTTCTTCAAGCACCCACCCTCTCAAATCAAGTGGGAGAGTGGGAGAAGCAAAGGACGACGATGAAAAAGGATACGCGTGGCCGCCAAAAGCATCTGCCTTTCTAGCAGTTTCCGACACTTCAAATTTGTCCTAGAAACTTTTTTCATCAAACCCATGGTGGCCCAAAGAATTCCTAGAGCTTCCTGGATCGCGACTTTATGGTGTGAGCCTGTCAGCATGTCCTTAGTGATGACTCTTTGCATTCCATCTCGCTCACTCCGCGTGCAAGCATGATAACACCTCCAAATTAGTCATGGCCGACTTGCTGGCGCGCCATGAATTCGGGAGTGCGAGATCCGTTCTTTGGATTCGGAGCCCAATTAGGCCCTGAACCCTGAAAAGACCTACGTTGTAGCAAGAAAGGTTATCAAACCTAGGAACCTCAAGCGCAAAGTCCGCCGCCCTGTTTGAATATTGACGCAGGTTAAATCGTTGTCAAGGGGCAACGCTCCAGGACCCACAAAAACAAATTCAAGCAACTGCCTTGAATACCCCCAAAAGGGTTGCTTGTGCAGGCACACGCTTACGCGAAAAGTTTTGGCTCCGAAATTTTTCAAGTCTGTCCAAATCGGTTCTTCGGTTGCGGCTGTTCTTGACCGCATCCACACATAAACTAAGGCCGTTTCTTCCAGTGGTGTGCTCACTGCGGTCTTAGCGTTCCTTCTCTCAGAAATGGCGGGTTGGACAGGTCGATGATACCCTCAGCTCCTCTTCCAGTTGCGCAGTTATCAGGGGAAACTCGGAGTATGCTCAGGCTAAACTTTTCGCAGATGCAGTGTTGTGTGCTCGGCCGAGGTCAATAGGAATTTCCACAAGTGCACGCGCAAATTCAGCTCCCACTTCAAGCGAATGACAGCCTTTATGCAAGAATCACAGTCCGTCGTTTCAAACATGCTAACATGTTGGTAGATTCATCGAATTAGAAGTTGAATGAATTTGAAAGCACTCGCGATTCGCATGTTCGTTTTACCTTTGACTTCTCGCTCAGGCCTCGGAGTGTGCAGAAAAATCAGAAAAAAGGTTGCGGTCCACTTTTGGGTGTTTTAACTCTGGTGCTTTCGAAAGATCGCCAAGCATCGTTGGTGCTGCAAGTGTTGGGGAGCGGTGATAGGAAGATCCCAACGTGCTCATCAACGCCAAAGGAGGGAGGCACCATGAGGTTGGTCCTGAAGGGCACGGATCCAGGCAGAAATGAGGTTACCAAATGTTACCAATCCTCCAGTCAACCACCCTCCGCCCTCTTCACGAAAGACTTTAGCGGTAGATCGCTGCGACGCCAATCAAACCACCCGAGGACGAGAACGAACCGGAGGTCGGGCCCTTGAGGATTTTCACTGGGTCACTTCATGTCGTTTCACGTCCACATCTTCCGCTTCATGTCCAAGTGCCACACGAGCCCCGCGACCAAGACACCCATAAACAGTGAGATAGGTGATCTGAGTGTTCGACACGGTGCCGTTCTCTTGATCTGTCTCCTGAGCAACTTGTGCCGGCGATCGAGATGGTCCAAACGGGTGTCTCATGCGAAGCCAAACGGGTGTCATGAGCACCCGGCACGCACGCCAGGTCTGATGAATCGAACAAATCAACTTGGGTCGAATACCGGCCCTTTGGCGCACCAGTGTCAGAAGTGGGGAAGAAACAAATGCAAATCCGCAATTCAATCTAGTTTTCAATTGGATTTTGCTTGGTGGAAAACCAGAACTCACAGGTCATGAACATGCATTCAAACATGAACTTCTTCCACTACTTGTTCCTTTTTCGCCACACGCGGAAGGAGTCAACCCATTCGTCCGCCGGTGTTCCGTAACAATCCAAGGTTCGATGTCTGTGACGGTCGGAGGGTCAAAGCTGGCCTTGGGACAAATGCAACCAGAGTGGGATAGAGAAAAATCGACACACCACATTAGCGCTATACAGTGTTTTGGTTTTCGCAGGATATATTCCTCCAGCAGGATCGAGATATGTCATCAAATCGGCGTACTTCCTGAAGCTAAAATGAAAAGCCTCCGCGTTGCGGAAGGTCATGTTCATAGGATTTTGGTCGCTTACCCCACAAGAACATCGTACGGGTCCGCTTTCAAGCACCACAAGCAACTTGCTAGAACCCATCAAATGAAATCTCGGGTAGGTGTCTGAGGGCACTCAACTCATTGGTGTTTGAATCTTGTGGAAGCTCTGAAAACCCTATATAAGGATCCAATGACCTCGGAAGGTTAGGTTTTTAACCCCTGTTACTCCTCAGTCCCACTCCCAACCACCGTTCATGCGGACAGGGTAGCGGAACCCCGCCAAACAAAGAGAAGCTTCCGGTTCATCTGAGCTTCGCGTTCAAAATTGGCAACGTAAATCAAGGAAAGAGTGGTTTGCTGAAGCACTATCTTGGTGCCCCACTTTCGTACCCGCACCCTCGCAGAAGCTCGAAAAAGCACAATCGAGGCACGTTGTAATCGGTGTAGACGTCCAAAGTCGGATGAACGTTTCCAGCAGGAGGTTGGATTTGGATCACCAGCGGCAACCTCGGCGCTTCGGCGTCTGGCTTCGAGACTTCGCAGTAGAACGCATATGAAACAGACCGGGGCTTGAGTCACACATCCGCGTTTCCTCGCCAGGGCGACCGGTTCGTAGTGAGTCTTGTGCACTGGTGAATAGAATATTGCATTCCACATTTGGTCGTCCGAAACGAATATTGCATCCCTGTAGACTGACGGAGTCTTTTGGCCTCATCTTTCACGGACATTTCACTCATGCTAATGGTTGAAACCCTACTATTCTGTTTTTGAATCTGCATTCTGCTTCTGCGATTGAATCTTGCACTATACCAACCCGATTCCCCACCAGCGCCCCATGCTTCCCTTCACAGCTCAGGCGCTCTGTTCCAAGACCCCACAAATTGTCCACACGAAAGCTGTGCAGTGTCCTGCGGTTAGAGGGCGCAACGCTGCTCGCTTTGAGAACATGATGTGAGAACCGCAAAAATAACCAGCTCCAACAAAATGTGACTTCCTGGTCCTTTCATGGTCGTCCTGCCATCAATGTTCTGGTATGCAGACTCCACCGGTTAGGAACATTTGCACTTTACGATGGTCCCGCTGTTCGATGTCTTTCGGAGATGTGATGCTCTTTCTTGGGGACGAGAGGTGAGCGAAACCACCAGGTGCCGTCAGACCCCTTTCCGGCCCTTTCCTCTGACACGCAGTGCACAGGAAAACATGGGAAACTCTTTTCACCTTTTAAGCTTCACCTCAAATTTGGTCCTGGAGAATCCTCGAGGGAAGCAGTCAAGTCCAATATTTTCCCAGTCAGGTTCAACTTGGAATTTGTTGAATATTTTTGAAGGACAAACAACAGTCATTCAGGCATTGTCTGGGGCACGCTCGCCTACAAATACATGGTTTATGTGCTGTTGTATGTTCAGTGTTGTCATTTGGATCATCTGGATGTACTGGATATCAGATATCCCGAGGGTACACCAGAAGTACAGTGAGGACATAGGACATCATAGGGAATCTTCCAACAGCATGTTCCCCCCACCGTTTCCGGTCCGTCCAGACTACCTGATACGTTTCCCCATCCTGGGTGGCACACTGCCCACAATTGCCTGGGAACTTGCCTGAGATCGGAGAAATGGGAGCCCGACCCAACATCCGAACGCCTGGAAACACTTCCCAAGAACCTGCAAAAGTGAGCGATGGAATGCAATACCGGACTATGCTAGGGACGTTGATGAAAGAATTCTTTAGAATCGAGACCGACGCCGAACATCGTATTTTGGGCAACGGGTAAGGCTAGGGTGATTTGCTGTTGGATGCTTTGAGTTGTTGCGACGAGGTCCGTAAGGTTGCATCAAATCCTCTGAAATCAATTCTCCAAACCGCCTTGATTCAAGTAGCCGAACACTTTCCAGCGAAGTGGCAATTTGGGCAATGACAACTCCGTCCCGCACAACTGCATTTGGTGAACTGCCGCTGCACGTGGGCTCAAAAATACGGTGTGACATGTGTCACCCCACCCTCCCTGCCTGAATGGATTCGCAGTGAAGACATTTTCGTGGAGAGGGACAGGGCATAAGGAAATCATATCTTCCTATATATCCACTTCTGAGTCAACTTAACTCTCCTCTTCGAGGAGTTTTTGCATTATTCGGTGGAAGCAGCTGTCTCTTCGTCTGGGGTCTATTTGGGTACCCCCACGGAAAACAGGTTGAACATGATCCAAAGGCATTTCCTTATGCGTCCTTTCCTTTCCCAATGTTTACATGGCGTGAACATGACGCAGCCCCAAAAAGGCAACAACCTTCTGGTTTATTGTTTTTGCCCGGCTTTGCCCTGAGATTGTTTGACGTCTTTTGAGGCTCCGTGGTTCTTGTTGCAGCGCCAGTGCCCAAACTTTCAGGCAACGTTAATCTGCCATATGATATTCTCAAGGTGTCTATTTTGCCATGGAGTGAAGCAACCACCGAGCGGCCAGCACCACCGTCTGCTCATATGGCCCCAGGCGAAGGCCGATATAATTGGCCTTAGCCCGGGCAGTTGGCAGCAAACTTAACCGCACTCTTTTTAGAGACAAAGCAGAAAGGGACCCCTAGTGTTGCTCTGGGAACTTCCACGGGCCCTGAGGGACGAACGATCTGATTTGTAAGTTGTCACAAGTTGAATGCAAATCTCGCACAATATGACTGCAGCACTAGCAGCTGAAAGCAGCTTTGTGGGCTTCATGCAATTTCAACAAAGAAAGCCCAAAATGGGTGGTGGAAGCAGCAAAACGGAAAATGAGCCTTGCAAGAGACCCTCAAACAGTGAAAAGGAACACAGCAGGAAGAAATCAAGAGCACATGTGAGAGCTAACAGCTAACATATGTGAGACATGCAAGTTCAAGCTCAAACAAGTAATGTATGAGAGCGCACAAAACAAGCCCTACTAGCAACACCCAGCTCCTCTGAAGCTGAAGCGCGCTCTTTTGTCCACTGCATCAGCCAACACAGGGCAGCAAACAGGCAGCACCTGCCTGACTGCTGCCAGATCCGAAACAAGTACGGGTGGGTGGGTGGGAGAAACCAAAAGGGGTACTGCCCTCAATTTCTGCCCTTGTTGCAGCTCACACTTGAGCCATGAACATTCACCTCCAATTACAAAGAAAAGGGACCAGGGATGTTGCAGAAGTGTTTGGGTGTACACTGGCCGTATCCAGTCCCATCCACCCCCCCATATGAGAGAACACACGTAAGAGCACACATATTAGAGCAGCATACAAATCAGGGCACACAACCGCAAGCAAACACATGAGAGCACATAAAGGAACACACACACACACACATGTAAGAGCACGCGCATGAGAGCACAGTGTAAAAGCACATATTGCAGAACACCATTCGGGGGCAAAGCTGGCTCCACTTTGACTCATGTATAAGTGGACGCTAAGGGCCAGTGCCTCTACATTCGTTCATGCACGTCCACAACACTTGGGTTCCTGTTTTGCAGGCCATTGCCCCCAAACTCAGTGTTTCAAGGTTCTACTGTAATTAAATTGAAATGACCTATCCATTGGGGAGAAGAATCCTCACAAAACCCTCACAAATCGCCGAATACGCTTCTGTTTGGGATCAAAGTCACATTGAGCGAGGTGGGCACTGCAATCTCGAAAGTCGCCACATTGGGGGCGTTGGCGTAGGAGATGACGCCGGTGACGGTGTCTGAGGGCCACTGGCCTACCTCCGTGCTCACGTCCAAAACACCTGGAGAGTGGAAACGCCACGAAGCATGGCATGGCCTCTGTATGCGAAGCACAAAGGGTGTGGATGAAGATGGTAAGAGGGAAGAACATTTGTTCGTGCATGCGCTCCAGCGCAATATGAATAGTAACAGTACTGACTTTCAGCATGACATCCTTTCGGGATCTTGGCAGTTCCTGTGGCGGCTCAAACTCTAGACCGGATTTTTCGGAGCTTGGAGGCCATCGCTTCTAGGTTGGTCCCTCTTCCCTTCACAAACCAAGGTGGGTCACTCTGGTACAGGTTCGGACTTCTGCACCAGGCTCAAAAATGACAAGACCAACTCTCCGAAGCGGGAAATCGGTTTCAGGCATGAGTTCTCCTGTTCTTGGACAGCGAAAGCTTGTGAAGAACTGGGACATTCTTGGAGTTGTCTCCCACATTCAGTTGAATTCGGTTAGTTGGTTCATGTGAGTGCATGTTGCAAGAAGCAACGATCCCTTTCATGAAATGTTTATGTTCAGGAACTTATATTTGGACTGGGTGCGATCAAAAACATATTGATTAGGAAACAACAAAAATGACATACATAGCATTAGGAAACCAATAGGAAAAATAGGAACAAAGGAACTAGAATTTGGTGCTCCGAAGTTGGGTGCTGGTGACAGGGAATCAGTGAGAATCAAGGCTTTGGTGGGGTGTTGTTCAGATCGGACCTCGGTAACGACCCCCTAAAGCCCACCCTGGCCGGGATCTGGGCCGGGTCCCACAATAAGCAGCCAACTTTTCCAAACCTTGGAAATTCCGAACCCCCCCACCCCCTCCCCACCGCTGTGATCCATATTGCGTTATGCTTGCTTCTGATTTCCTCTTGCCTTGCTCTTTGTTTTGTGCTTGAAACGAAGATTAAGAACATTTTTTCCTGTTTGTTGTCCTATTTGTTCATATATTTCCTCATTTTGTGTCCTATTTATACATTTCCAATTTTGTTAATATTGTTTCCTAATTCTTGTATTTTGCAATTTCCATTCCAAGCTTCATTCAGCTCAAACTAACTCTACTTTCGTTTGGGACTCATGCTGGATCAAACATGACTGTGGCCCACTGTGGCGCCAGGTTTTCGCACACAACTGCAAGATATGAGAGTACCAGTGCAGCTCAAGAGATCGCTGCACACTTGGTCGCTTGGTGCCGATGTGAAGAATGTGCCTCCCGTCTTCATGTTTTCCATCTCCATCCACAAGGACAACTCAAACAACTCGAGTCGTACTTGTCAGAAAGTCCTGAAACAAAAAAGGCACGCAAACAACAAGAAAAACTACACGATATGTTGAGCACTGGCCTAAAGTCTTGCCAAAAGTGGCCACACTTCCATAAGATGCTCGATCCTGCTAGCGTTGGGTAAAGGTGCTTCAGATTGCGAGGGACATCACATGTGTTCTGGATTCGTCTTCGTACCAGTTTTTCCTTGGCAAAGGCTACTATGGAGAAGTCTTCCTCTGCTCCGATGATCAGAACAGTGCTTGTGATTGAAACCGTTCGGGTCGCACCGGCTGTAAGGCTATTTCTTGTCAACCCCATCCGCTCGAATCAAGGCTTCTCAGGGACAAAGTGCTGGTCTTAATCTGGTCATGTCCGTTGAGTTCTTGCCGCAGCTTGCACTTCCAGACCGCTTTTGCAAAGGGATAAGGTCAAGACCAGTTCGTCCGTTGAGAGATTTCCAGGCTCGTTTGAGCACCATCGAGTTTCAAGGCAACATGTTTGTCCAGGATGGACGTGACAGATAGTGACAGTTGATCAACATGCACACCCTCCACTGCCTCAAGCACACTGGTGCTGACGAGTTCTTTTCAGAATCCATGTACAATCGAGTTTCTCAGGACTTCACAGAGTCAGAGTGTAACAACGGGAGTATACTTTGAACGATGGTTGTGTGGAGAAGGGTGACCACATATGGGTCGACAGTCAACATGTTCTCGGGATCGAAAGCCGCTTGCCAACTGACGAAAAAGATCGCTTGTGGGCCAACGTCAATAAACCCAACTGGTTTGACCTCGGCGAAGTTTGGCAGGACAAACGTGTGAGAATTCAGCTGCCGAACGCTTATGACGATCCAACCTTCGCCGGAGCAGAGTCTCATTGATCTGCCTTTTCCGCGATCGACGATCGAATCCGGCTTGAGCTTCTGCCGCAGGCCTTGCCGTTTGCCTCTTTTTGCATAGGGTTCGTTGGAAGGGGAAGGTGGATGAAGGTGGAAGGTGTGGTCTTGGTACCCTCACAGAGTTGTTTTGGTTTTAGACTTTGAATCCTTGGCTTCTTTCAGAGCTGCAGCTTTTCAGGCAGGCTGGGTGTATATAGAACACCCGCAACCGGATCGACCTTTGGACGCGCTTCGTGTACTTTGGGGCTACCCACAGTTCTTTCGCGATGATCGTCTAGCTTCTTGCTCCTAGTAGCTTGTTACTAGTAACGATGCCCTTGTTACTAGTAGCTTCTTGCTACTAATAGCAATGGCCTCCAACCAAATTCCTTGATATTCCTTGCAAGTATATATGATTGCTCGAATTGCTCCCTCGCTTCTCTCACTTCTCCGATCGTGCCTAATACGAAATTGATGGTATACGGCGCAGGGGCAGTGTCTCCTCAGTTTTCAAACGTGTGTTCAGTACTCACCATTTACTGTAACTCTAACGAACTGTACCATTCTTTCATCTTCACAAAACCCTGGACCACCCCAGATAAACACACAACGCACGGTAGGTGTAGTGATCTTCTTCCTTTTCCAGGTGGCTCTTGCAATCCTATCACCCAGGAAGGCATCCATGAAATCCGATTATATAACTCCCACTTCATTTGCCACTTGCTGTCCAGGGCTCCAGTCTGAGCAGGGTGCACGTTGATCACCACCTCAGGGCTCTTTTGGTTCATCATGCCGAGTCCCCCAAAATTGTACCCCCGTGCTGATAGGATAGAGATGCTCATCCTGCTCATGGTTCATGGCTCCCAAAGCGGGTGCGCCGGACTCCTGGAGGGTTTTGCCCTTGCCATTTACGTTCAAGGAGCACAAGAGGAAGCAATTGCTACAAGGTAAAAAAAGAACTGTTTGTTCGGTACAAAGCGAGTGTGACAATTGACAAAGCGGGTATCCGCAAACGCCAGAGTTGCAAGACTTCTGAGTGGTATAGGACAAGGCCCCTTTTCAACCTGAATCTTTTTGCTGCTCAATCAATAGTTAAACTATACTTCTTAACTTTGTCATCTATCAAACATAATGCCTGAAAACATTTGTTTGGAGATCAACACGGTCCACCCACATCGAAGCCCGACATCCCGTGTCAGTTTCTGCATTTGCATTTCTTTCGACTTGTCACGTTCAGCCTCACAGCCGAGACCCTGTTCTGGGATTCGCACCTGGATATTCGCGCTTCGTGGCACTTCGGGGGGCAGCTCTCCATTTGCATCTAAGAGTTGCTGCACCATGCTTTGCACCTAAAGTCAGGCCATGTACGCAATTGGAGCAAGCGAAGGAACAGCATGCGGCACTACTAGTCACTTCAAACAAGAAGGGATAGCTACGGATTACTACAACGAACACATCAAACACATGAGTGCTTAAACTTAGAGTCTCGATAGTGGGTCTAGCACAAGACAAACGTCAGCAATCCTCACTACTTCAGTGTCTTGCCGTCTGGTTCGGTGCAGATTGCTCAGCTTCAAGGTTCCCCAAACTGCCAACGATCCTGGAACTTTGACACCAGCCACCCAACCCTCAGTGGGCCAGTTCGTGCAGAACCGTCCCACGGTACCCTGCGGTACCCTCTAGCAACCAGGCTATCTCGTGCGAATCACCCGACGTTGCCTCCGGCTGTTGCACCAACGCAAAAGCACTGGAAGCTTGGCCCAACACCTCGACCCTGCGACAGTGGACGGAGTGGCAATTGGGATTCCTCATGATTCCATCATATCATGATGGTTCATCATGTAATTGTGACTGCTTCAGTTGTTGTCCATGTCATATCTATTCATATCATTTCATATCCATCCTCCATAGGATATCTCACTCACCCACTAGCAAGCTGAACGATCACAATCTTTCCATGAACATGTATTGCCAAAATAGATAAGAAGCCTTATGTGCCACACACCTGCGGCGCTTGTTATAGAGCTTCAAGGCCTCAAAACTGCTTCGGTCTCATCTGGGCTGCACCAGGTACGCACCTCATCCTTATGTACACTGGACTTCAAGTTGTACAATGATTGCCAATCGGCTCTGAGATGTGAGACTTTGAGTTAAATCATTTCAGGCATAAAGATTTCATATGAAGGTGCAGAGTTCGAATTTTCATCACACGCAGCCAGCACTGCAGCCTTTCTGAGCGAGCAAACTCCATACGCTCAAGAGCTTAGTGTCTCTTAGCCAAGCTTCAGCATTGAGAGTCACCTGGTAGTTGCGACTGGTAGGGTCAAACCTCGGTCGTGGGCAGACGACTTTTGGGGTCACTCCAAAAACACAAACTTAAAACTACGACCCCAACATGTTGACCCCACCACAAGAAGCGCTTGGCATTTTAGCATAAACCGCCTTGCTTTGAGGATTTTGAGGAGTAATTAGCACCAACCTCCACATAGCAACTATAAACTAGGTCAACGGCTCATTCATGCGTGAGGAGGTGGATTGTTCTAAGGGGCGAACACGCAATTCTTTCACGTAGAAGTCTGTTCCACAAGCCAGTTTCGCACAGCAGGCAACTATCGTCCTTCTCAACTAACCCCTTTGCTTTTCAGAAAAAAAACGACTTGCTCGGGTGCAATTGATAAACATGCTGTGAGATGGATAAAGTTATTTTCTCACCGTGGAACTGTGTTAAACACATAAAGTGCAAGAAAAACCAACATTGGCATATGTGGGCCATGGGCCAACTCCTAGCCAGATCCTATAGTCCAAGCCAGCACTGCTAGCCGTGTGGAGTCAGATTCTCGTTCTGCCATGGCACGGCGGATAGAGCGCCGTGAACACCTCTGTCTCTGACTCATCGTTGCAGACTGCCTTGCGAGAATCGTTGCCCGGTGGTCGGACCACCGTGCTGCCCGGTGTGCCTACATCGCCCTTCTCGAACACCGGAAGATTGGGGTGATTGGACATCGTTGCTATCTCTCTTCGTATGATCGGGCGTCTACATTTTCCATAGCCTTTTCCACAGGCTGAGGATAGTTTGATCAGTGAGAGTAGCAAAAGGTGTAGCTATGGCAAACCAGCTCTACGATGTCCGGCAGTTCTCCTTGATGTTCAATGTGACGTCGGACAACGTATCATCCGTGTCCTTCTTGGTGGAGACACCATTGGTGGAAACCTCAGAGGGACAGTTCATGGAACAATAGCTCGAACATGCTCGAACCAGCTTGCGAATTCAAGATTGAAGTGCTAACAGTCTAGCTTTCACCTATATGATTATATACACATTGGAAAGTGAAAGGCAACACGACGACCCGAAGTCCCAAAGCACTTCGTCCCGAATCGTCTGGAGGGGACAATTAGGGGGTAGACATGCCAATGAAAGTCTACAAACACCGTTGTCTCTCGGCAGATGGGATCAGATGGGATCAGATGGGATCAGTGTTGTCTGGATCGACACTCGGTGCGATCCCTGCAGCTGTTGAGGTGAGGATGGGATCGCCAATAGCTGCGCCTGGCAAAGATCGGTGCCTCCAAATGAGCGATGCTACCTTTTGTTTCAGCATAGTAGAGATTCCAACTATATAGTAAATGGATGGGAGCATCATCAATTCTGGTCTCACTTACCTTGGAAATGGATATATGTCGTGGACTCCAGCAGCTCTTTGGCTTAGCCACCAACAGCTTTTTGAGCCACTAAGTCATGATCACACTTAACAACGAGCTCTTTGGGTGACCAGTGGGTGACCTGAGAGCTCAAGCGCGTGCTCAGTTTGAAAGAGCGAATCAGCCGCATCATATCGCATTCGAACATCCGTGCCGTCTTTGCCTGTGCAAACCACCGAGTACTGCGTGAATGGCAGCAAGCCGGTGATTGGCACCTGGACTCTGTGCAACGCGGCGATTGTGACAGCTCCTTGCTTCGGCCCCGTTGTGCCCAAGAAACTCGTTCTCCGACAGGGATAGAAAGGTAAGAAGTCCGCTCTCTTCTTCTTCTTGGACGGACTTTGAGCAGAAGTGCAACATGTTCGGGGGTACAGGCCACACTCTTGCCTCTTACCTTTTGCTGGCCGTGTCAACCAACCCTCTCCAAAAAATCACTGGGGTTCAATAGATAACTCCAGCATGCTTGGCTCTGCCACGAGCGCTTGCCCCTTCTCGGAGGCTGACACCTTCGTGAACGAACAAATCCTGGAAAGCATCAAGCAGTCTTGGACAGGGATACAGTATGTCGCCGCACCTTTTTTGTTAACCATGGGTGGTTTCTATCCCTGCAGGATTCACACAAGGATTAAACAACGACCATACGGTCATACGGTATAACTAGTGTCGTCCCACTAGTTGGTTCAAAGGGGCCTGGGAAGAAAATTTCCATCCCCAATGTGACGGTGATGAATGCTAACTTCATGACTGAGAACTCGTCCTTGTCCCCCATCGTCTGCCCGCAGAGTTTGCAAATCTTGGAGTTGGAACTCGCCAATCTCTTTTTTCAATTTGCTTCAAAACACATAACGTGCCAACGTTAGCATTGTGCACCCCCGTTGAGCCCCCGCTTTCACCGCGTGAATCGCACCTCCACGAAGTCCCGCGCTCCGGTGAAGTCCTCCGGCTCCGACAGTTGAGCGATGCCTGAAAGGGCCAAGACCTGTTTGGCTTTTCGAAATCTTTCCCCAATCATTCCCCACTTTTAGAGTTTTCTCTTTCGGAATCCGAAACCACACGTAATTCGTCTCCATCCGTCCCTCGCCCACCTCCAGGTGCTGCCTCCGAGGCCACCCCGCAGCGGACGGTCATGGGCCGGTCCCAGGTCACGCGCACCTGGTGACGGCGTCCGATTTCGTCTCCCATCCCTAACTCTGTGTTTTCAGCAAAAAAGCAAAAAGGATGCCAGAAGTAAGGAGGACAAGGACACGGACACATGAAAGGCCTCAACCGCAGGAAAATCACAGAGCAAAGAACAAAGGAAGCGTTTCTTATGGAGTCCTTTCTTCCTTTCCCTTTTCCTCTCATTCAAGAGGTTTGACTCTCAATTAGCAGCTTGGCGGCTCTGCATCATATGTAGAGTGCTGTGGTAGGGGCACACCACTTACATTCGTCACTGGAGGGGCTTTGTGTCACAAGCTATTTTGCCAAAACAGGACGAAACAACCTTCTTCTGCATGAAAGGCCATCCCAGTTTTGGATGGGGGAAATCACGCACATACAGTGATTATTCAAACCCGTGGCATGTGAAACATTGTGAAACTATGTCACACTTCACCAGAACCAGAAGAAAACACCTGCTGAGGCAATCCTGTTTTCCCTGTCGCACATAGCCGACCGCTCGAAATCTTCCCCCCAACGGTCCACCGTCATCGAAGTGGTCGTACTGGAGTGGAGCGTGACCATGCCGATGGGCGGCGGTGGTGAGTAGGTGAAGCTCCAGGTGATCCTGTGGAGCTCGGCACTCGGGGCTTGGCAGCTCCGGACAGGTTTGTGCGCTTCACCTTTTCGGGATCAAACATTTTAATCCTACCCATGACTCGCTCTTCGAGAATCCTGGAATGAAATAGAGATTCCGCATTAACAGCATTGTCCTTTCCTGATCTATCCTTGAACCATCTAGAATTTGAACTTGGACTCAGGGCATGGGCCCATTTTAAGGCTAAACAATGCGAAACACCTCTAAACGGGTGCCTCTCCAGAATGACCGCAGCACTGTGTGCCATGAAATTCTTTTATCCCCCATCTTCACCTTTCTCCCTCTTGACACCTCGGTGAGAGCTTGGCAGGTGTGAGCTGCGTCTTCAGGAGGCCTTCCTGACAAGTCACGGCGGGGACGGTCCGGCACTGACCGTCTGAAAGACCCGAGAGCTCTGAGATGGAACCGAGACCGAAACGGCAGGACCGAAGGACATCGCGGTCCATCGGGCAATTTGTGGGTTCATGTTTCACTCCGTCTACAAATGTCTACAGCGTCTTTGAGATCCTGATTTCAGGATTAAACGATATCAAACGTGGATCATGATATCCTCCCGCGCGCCTCCACGATGACATCATAAGGACAGGAGGTGAGCGGGCGAGGCAAGGCCTCGGCGAAGTCCACCAGGGCCACGCGAGAGCTCTGCAAAAGGACCTGCCACGCTGCAAACGTGGAACTTAGCAAATCCCAAATCTCACCTTCACAACTTGTCCTCTTTGTGAACTGTCTGGCATCGTACCTCTCACACCAAGCCGCCTCAGTGCCCCAGCTCCCCTTTCGCCTGCACCACATCACGGGTCACGCATTTGGAGGCACAATCAGCCACACTCACCTGATTGGACACAAACAAGGTTCGGGACGAACAAGTGCATCGCTACTAGTAACAAGTGCCTTACTAGTAGTAACAAGAAGCCATTAGAATTAAGTGTAATTAGAATCAAATTAAAATACACAAAAATTCAGTCAGAAAAGAGTGGAGATGAACGAAGTGTGTGTGTCCAAGTCCTCGACGAGTCCTCGACGGTTTAGCCAAAGGGGCGCAGTTGCAAGCACCGGGATCCGCCACTGTGCCCGGCAAAGAGGGGCAAATGCTTAGCCTGGACACGAATAGCCAGGGTTGTCTTCCACCCGGAGCTGAAGAGCTTTGTTTCCTCCTCTTGGGGGGAGTAGAAGCGAGTAGAAACGAGCACTGTAGATGCTTCGGTTAAACAATCGTTTTGTTCAAAAGTGGAAACCGTTTCTCTTGTGGAAACATGCTCCTTTGTCAAAGAGGGTACCGATTTGAGTGCGAGACAGAACCCTACCTTTGGGTCCACTGACTCCAAAAACTGGTTCCAGTCCCCCCAAACATCGGTAGGAGGTGGGTTCACCGACCGGCAACTGGGATCAAAAGGAATGCCTCTTTGGTCCAGTTTCTTCATCCAGAATTTGGACAACGCACAGACAAAGACAAGCATCCAACCGCAGATTCCTTCTGACAGACCTAACTCCTTTGCCCGGCGTCCGGAGATGAATCTGTCCGACTGCCCAAATGCCCATGATATGGGGACTCCCCAGTCACTTCTGCACATTTCTTCGCTGGATAGTATGCACTTCTATGGCTGCGCTACCTTTTGCTCATGTTTTGTGTGTTTGAGCTTCGCACCTGCTTTCGTGTGCTGTTGTGCTAAACACATCGTTTGGGACAGCGGAGGCTTGAGAACACCAGGAAAAAACAGAACCAGAGGCCAGGGCAGTGGTCTCTCACCTCGATACTGTTGCTGTTTCCTCTCCAACAACTGAAAAAACCCAAAGACTTCCGCCGAAGACATTTTTTCAAATTCCTTCCAAATGATTTCAATGTTAAACCTGCACCGCGAAACGCCACAGAGCTGTCGCCCAGGGCCAAGTCGGTGTCGAAGAAAAGCATCAACCTGTGCAGCCGTTGAAACAACACGATGTGGCCTGTTTTGGACCGATTCCGACAAACATCCATACAAAAAGTGCATGACCTGTCTTTTTTCTTCCTTCCTTCCTCTCTACTTCCCCCAAGCTACGTGTTTTAGGTTTTGTGGTTATTCCCATCCGTTCCCACATCCCAAGCCACCCACCTCTGTGGTGCATATTGCCCAACCAGGAAACCCTGGGGGTCAATGAAGCTAGGCTGCTGCACCTCGGAACGACGTTCTGCACGGCTCGGCAAAGCTGCACTTCATGGCAAATGGCCGCCCGTTGACCGCCCCTTGGCCTGGTCCAAAAAATAAAATCTGTTATACAGATCTTTCATTGGAGTGAGCCTGTTTTCAAATCAAAAATAGAAACAGTCAAAAACAAGATGGAGCCCACGAACCCGAATGCAAACACGATCGAAAAACTACATATGTCCAAATGACACTCTTGTGGGACACTCTTGTGGGACACTCTTATAGGACACTCTTGTGGGTCACTGTTATGGGACACTCTCGTCGACACTTTTGTGGGACACTCTTGTAGGGCACTCTGGTGGGACACTCTTATAGGACACTCTTGTGGGTCACTGTTATGGGACACTCTTGTCGACACTCTTGTGGGACGCTCTTGTGACACACTCTTGTAGGACACTCTTGTGGGACACTCTTGTATAGGAAGCTCTGCAGCGACACGCCACGTTTACGCCAGCATGTTTCGCGCTCCCCTGTGGCACCGCGCCACGCAATGACTTTCCACCAAGGCCGCGCAAATCCCAAAGGCACTGCGACATCACGAACGTCGCGTCGCCACACGGTCTGCCCAGACACTAGAAGCAAACATGTCACATGATACCGCAAATCATCCCGCTCTCCAGGGACACACCGCGCTTACGCCAGCCTGTTTCGCTCTCCCCAGCGGCACGGCGCCACGCAAACGCACTTTCCACCAAGGCTGCGCAAATCCCAATGGCACTGCGTAATCACGAATGTCGTGTCGCCACACGGTCTGCCCACACACTACAGAAGCAGTCATGGGAGCAGTCACGCGTCAAGTCTCCAAAACGAGCGTTTCGCGCGAGACCTCCTCCAAAAGTCACCTGCAAGTCTCCAAAACGAGCGTTTCGTACGAGACTTCCTCAAAAAGTCACACGTCAAGTCTCCAGAACGCGCGTTTCGTACGCGACTTCATCAAAAACTCACATGTCAGCGTTTCGTACGAGACTTCCTCCAAAAGTCAAGCGGAAACACCCATCGGAGCACACACATCACGCAGCCCTGCCAAGCAGTTTCGCGATTCCAGCCCCTCCAAACAACACCCGCTCACACGCCAATCCCAATGTGACAGCGACATTCACCTCTACCACAACTCACAACCTCACGATTCCCTGCGCCTGCCACGAATCTTTCCGCGTCCACACATTTAATGTGCACAAAGTACTTCGCCTGCCACGAAATGTCACCTCCGTCACACCTCGCAACCTCACGATTCCCTGCGCCTGCCACGAAAATCGCGCTTCCACACCTCAAGGCCCGCACAAAGTACTGCGCCTGCCACGAAAAGTGACAATATCGTCGCATGTGAGCTTCACCAAAATTTGCACCACACCACACGTTTGGAATGATTTCGACCCGTTCTGAGCACACTCCCATCCACCAAAATCGCCATTTCAGCTGAGACTTGTCACGAAAACAGAGCTTCGATGCCACACCCTGAAACGCAAATCCCAATGGCACGGCCACATCCAACACCCCCAAAATATGACTCTCCAAACGCTAATCCCAATGGAACTGCGCAGCAAACTGCGGATCTCACAAAACGCTGCACCTGCGCAGTGAAATCATCCTCCACACTTCAACATCTTACATTTCCACACGCTTCCTCGCTATTTCACACGAATCTGACACGTCACTTTTCCATCCGAAACCCTCTCCAAAAGCTTCCCCCAATGGCAGCGCCTTAGCGCTCTACTGCGAACACTTGCGAACGGTTGCGGACGGTTGCGAACGTAGAAACAACGGGTCGCGAACAAGGCTCTACCCTACCCCCAGACCCCCAGAGTTAAACGAGAACCCTTCGCTACGCATTCGGGAAAAAAGTCAGTCCCAAAAGTCAAAGTCAAAAAGTCAAATCAGAAAGTTTCAGTAACAAATATCAATTTGCACAGATCCTACTTTTTCTTTACTTTTGTTTGACTTCTTTGTTGACTTGTTTTTTACATTTTGCCGACTTTTTTGACGGTTATTCTTATTTTTTTGTGACTTTTTTGACTTGTTCGTGACTTTGACATTTTTGACTTATATTTGACTATTTTTTTTGACTTTTTCGAGTTGTTTTGTAATTTTGACTTGTTTTTGATGTTCGACTGTTTTTCGACTTTTTTTAAATCAAGGATTCTGGCCTTACCATATGAAAATTATGAAAGATTTTGATAAATCCACTGCCCATTCGACCCGTTGGCAAACTACCCACGGTTCTGGGCCCCTCACCACTGGCACAGAGGTGGTGCGGAGGGCTTCCTGCGGGGGCAGTGGCAGGACGGAGGTATCCCAGGATTTGGAAAACAACACACACATGAAAACACTTCCCTCTTTTCGTTAGACGAGTCTTTTTCATTCTCAGGACCAAACGCAGAAATCAGTCTGGACAGTCCGGCCACCCGGCCAGCCGCCTCGGTGTTGCCCCAGCCGGACGCCAAGGGGGCACCGTTGCTGCACAGTTCTCTGGCGCGGAAGTAGTAGCCGGTGCCCTGCGGAGCGTCTGCAGTGAAGCTGTCGGAGGAAAGAAACAAATCGCAAGAACAGAACACAAACAACAATGTAGGCAATATACAGGTTCTCTTGTTTCCGTTATGTGGGTCTGCTACACAGATTTGCTGGAATCCCTGTGTTCTGGACGGCTGTGATTTTTCGGGTCAAGCGCTTGACCCCCCCAGGCCGCATTCTGTACGTCTCCGTCTCCGTCTAGTAGAGGCTGTCCTCCTGTGGTGTCTTGATCACTTCCGAAATCCCAGAAGCTGCCCACCCACCAAACCTCAACCCGCGTCCATCTGCCCAAGTCTTTGACCCGATTGCTTCGGGTCGACCTACGAATCGGTGGAACCGTCATGAATCTTTGATGCTGCAACCGGGCTCTACATGAATCCCATTGAATCCCCCTCAAGCGTCCCCAAATATACATCAGGCCGCTCTGAAATTTGGATTCTCGGGTGTCGTTGCACATGAAACACCATGAAACATCAAACCCATCTACAGTAACAAGTGCATCGCTACTATAGTAGTTAGAAGTAACACATGTCTCATCCCACCCAGCCGTTGGCCATCCCTCGATCTCTGTTCGTGCCTCCGAGAGTTCTTGGACCAAACAACTCGGTCCGCTACGCACCTGCAGTGAGCCGGAGGTCAAAGGCCTCAAGAAACAGCGGTCGGCATCAAACACGGGGCACTTTGAGGTTTTCAGAGCATTTCACCTGTGACATATGAGTTTTTGCGTTGGATGCTCGTTCAACCCCAATTCACAAGAGTTCACCCAGTGCAGTGCAGTGAAACTCTTCACAAACTCTGGTGCGTCGAACGCGCTTCTCACCGTTTCAAAACGCTCAGGCTCCACTTGCCTCTCACCGGTTCACCCTCCAAGCTGCAAAGCGGTCCATGTCTCCACTGACTCTTGGCGCATCTGGAGCTCAAAGCCTTGGAATACGCAGTCCCCAGCTGACCTCGGCACTTGGGATGGATGCGAGACGCATTGGTGCAAGAGGGGTGGAGTGATTTAGGGACTAATATCGAACACAAACAAAAGGTTCTTGGTGCTAACACTCCATAGCAAGTGGTTCTATATGGTTCTAAGTTCTATTCACTGTGTATCTTCTTGGTGACATGCCTACGCCTCTGCAACCTTTGGGAGGCATTGTTCATCAAGTGATCATGATGAAGTACTCTGAAACAAGATCGCATATTTTCACGGTAGCGCGGACTTGGTGAGGTTGCTATACTCATGGAACTGCTCTGGGAGTGAACACGTTTAAGAACCCCCTATGTACTAACCTATAAACATCATAATGGTCGTTCAGGGCTCTTCACCTCTTGACAACCAAGCGGTAACCAACGTGAGAATCTCAACATCAAATCCATCATGCATGATTCCAACATCTACCAATTCCATTCTCATCCCCGGTTGGTCAACGGTCCTCCGAATGCCATTTCTGCCTAGGGTTGGCTTGGGTGTGTTCAAAACATGTTGAATGCATCATCACCCTTGTCCTGACTAATTCAACATCAGTTTGCTGCAAATCTTTCGATTCCTTTATCAAGATCAAATTGCTGTGCCATATCGTGGCACCTCACGACGGCCTCTGAGGTCCCTGACCCAGCGGAAAAGGACACCTCCAACGACACGGTGGAGGTTTGGGTCGCGCGCAGCAGCTGCGGAGGTGATGCTGGGCGAAGGCAAATGCCTGGTGCGACCCGACTGGACCGGTGACCCACAGTGTTTCGATGTTCTGAACGAGAACAATATTTATTCGTTTAAGGATTGTTTCACATCAAATGACTTTCGGTGCGAATGATCAAGGTGGGGTTGAGAAAAAAACATGTCAAAAGCAAACACTTCAATTGACCGATCATGATCATTGAAGCCCTGGGGCATGGTTCAACTGGGTGGTCATTCCCAGGGTCGGTTGCTATGAAGCCGATCCGCCAAAGCAAACACATGGGAACCTCATGTTGTCATGTTGTTTATCAAATCGAGCTCGAAGAGAATCTTCCACGCTGCGAAAAGGTGCAGTTAGCATGCATTCCAATAGGATTGTTATGGCCCTGACAGTAAGAGGGAATTGGAGAATCCTCCACTCACTGTCAGGCTATGCAAGGAAGTCACGTACTCCCTCGGTCCACCTCACTTTTCCGGTCACTCATTCACTCACTATATTGACGTTAATCTAATCAACAAACAGCTGCAACACACTCATCAGGAGCCCTCACGTCACACATCATCGCGTGACCTTCCATCACACAACAATTCTCATCAATCACATTGCAACTCTGTTTGTATGTATCGAAACTTCCGCCCACTGGCTCTGCTGGCTGGAGAGTTACTTTGTATTGAAAACGTTTTTTCCTCTAACTTATTGTTTTTGTAGACCATTAGGTCTTTGATTTATCTTTTCTCCTTCCCTTCCTTACAAAACCTCAAGTAAAGCGAGTGTACTTTGGACACTGACTCTCCAATATATGGCAAAGACCGGTCACTGAAATCAAGAATTGACCAATCCCACATCTTCAACACAGTTGAACAATCTTTGTGAATGGACGGACTGAGTCGACCCTCACCCCTCACCCGAAAGGGTCATGCAGCTTCGCTGTGCTGAAACACGATCTCACTGGAATCGAAAAAAGAAAGCCACTCCGGGTTTTGCCGCGATCCATCGTCTCAATTTTTTGGTGCTCTTCTTCACACCTAGTGGAAAAATGCTGGGAGGCCGTTGAAGCTAAATTGATTTAGCAGCCTCTTGAGCTGTCAAAAGTAAGGCCTCTTTGAGCCTAACCATGCCCAGCTCACCCTCCCGCCCTACCTGCATAGGCCGTGCGGAAGGATGGGAATGCCATCCAGTCACTGCTGGCGGCGGCAGGCACGCATGCCGCACGGATCCGGGCGTCGTAGAGCGTGTCGCATTGCAGGTTCAAGGCCTCGAGACGAGGAATTCGTGCCCTCCGATCCGACAGCCTAAACGGGTTCGATGGTGTATTGAATAGATAGTGATCCCTAGACTCTAGACAATTTAAGGACACAGCTCACAACCACACATTGGATTCTCCATAAGCAGAGGGACATTCCTGATCTACATTCGGTCCGACAAACATCCAGCATGCCCCACCAAAAAGAGCTGTGCGACTACGGCGGTAAGCCGATTCGGGAGTGCCTGCATGCCAGGCATGCCTCCACCCTCCTATCCCGATCTTCTGACACCGAGCGACTGTACATGACCGGTCGGAAGCTAAGTCTTGGCAACCTTCCGGGCTTCCCCAGTCCTCGGGCATGGGGCAGGATGGACCAAACTGGTTCTGTCTTCCTGGTGAAAATCTGGTGGGATGTCCAAGAATTTGTCTGGTAGCCAGTTGTGCAAAAGGTTCCTTCCTCTACCAACAGATCTAGTGGAATAAGACTCTAGAATCAAACGTCCACATTGGCATAACGGCATAAACAAACTTGGGCAAAGCAGCCTGTAAATGAAGATGAAACACAAAATGCCACCAACTATGACAAAAAAAACGATTTGAACAACGACAGTTATGTGGGGAAACGGGGTAGATCCGCCACTGGGTCGGTCAGTTTCGGTTTGGAAACTTGCAATTGGCTTTCCTCTTTGGACAAAATACACTGAAACCCTCTTAGAACACAGCTTTGAGTGACATCGCCATTGCAAGCCTGGACGTTTTTCATGATCTCGGAAGCGCAGTATATAAACAATCGCAGTGCCGACTGGTGACTAGGTCAAGGCGCTGGATGAATGATGTACTGCAACTTCTGCCAAACCCGATTCATGCAACAATGCTTTGTGGGTGTCTCTCCCGGTTCAACCCTTGGAATTAGGGCCCGTCTCCCTAGTCATGGGGACTGCTGTTGCCTGATGCCGGCATCTGGCCCCGATATGACAGGCATCACTCTCACTTTGCGCTTTGATCTCCAACTGGAAGTTCTGAGAATTACAATCCTTGGCGACACTGCGAATTCAAGGCAGACAAGAGCGGGTTTGTGGGGACGGCCATCACTGAGGGTTTGTAGCTAGTTCACACTTGTCTGGATCTCACGCGCAAACATGTTGACCTTTGCCAAACCAGTTGTGGGACCCCTGGACTGCCCTGGGCCCCTGGAATTGAGGATTGCTCCAAAGAGGAACAAGTTGAAGTTCGGTTGAAAGCTCTGGTTTTTGTACCTGAAGAATCTTTAGTTATTCCAACAAGAACGGCACCGCGTGTGGTGTTGCTTCATTTGTTTGTTTGTTTGTTTGTTTGTTTGCCTGCCTTCCTTAAATAGAAAGGGCTGTCCTCGTTCGTCCCTCAAATGGACTTTCTTTTCGTTCTCCATGTTGCTTTCAATTCCTTCTTTGGCAGATGTTGCATCTACAAGTCAAACTGCTGTATATAGATATAAAGAGTCATACGCGCCTGTTTTCTGTTCGCTCTGCAGCTAGATTGTCGCAAATAACCAAAACTTGGGAAAAAAAGTACTCTCCATCCAAAACGAGTTGATTAACACCCCCCCCCTTCCCGGTCCACAACACGAGGAAGGGGGCGTTTCCGGTTAATCGTCCCCCCTGACCAGGTGGGCCACTCCCCAAACCCTGGCCAGGCCCCGAGCGACACCAGCTTATTTTCCTCTCTTTGCTGGTTTTCTTGTGGAAGCGTCTCTCTTTCCACGTCCCCCCAGACCTCGTTTCTTCGAGGTCGGCCTGTTGCTTTGCAACGGCTCAAGTGTTTCAAACTGTCTGGGGTCGGAATTCTGAAAAAAGACTCGAAAGGGTGTCAAATGATGCTCCATTGGTCCTAGCTTCATTTCCGCCAAAATGGCGCGGGACTCGTTGAGGTATATTTTGGGCTTGCCAACGCCCCAAAGTCATCACTCGGTCTAAACTACCATGCTGGCAGAACCACCATGTGGCCCCGCCGCGCCTCAGTGAGTAGGGTCTAAGTTCCAGGGGTTCCAGCTTCAAGCTTTCTATGCAAGCTTTAAACAATTTACGCCAGCGCCCCGGCGAGGGGCAAAGTCGCTGCTGAGGTGAAGCCAAGGCTACCCACTGCTGTACATAACGGAAGGCGGTGTCGTGTCCCACTGACACACTTTCTTGAACCCCTGCACGTTTCCCGGCTTTGGTAAGGCCAAGAGCTATTACTGCCGTTCTCAATTTGTTTTTGAAACTTCGACCTTGTTCCGAAGGACCTCAAGCAGCTCACCTTTTTTCACAGGGCTATGCTTTCCCCGAGACTTGTCCTTTTCCTCTTTCGAACTTCGCCTCCTTGATTGTGACCTCCTTGTCCGTGAGCGGCTCTTGGACCTTCTTCTCCTGCGTCTGGAACGGGCTCTCTCTGACTTCACACCTTATTTGGCGTCAGCCACCGGCTCCTTTTCTTTGTCTGCCTCCGACTCCTTCTTTACCTCCACCTTTGCAGATCCAGCTCCTGGGTCTCGAAGTCCCTGATGCTCGCCTTGTACAAAGGGATCTGGCCCCGATTCACTGGTGGATTTCCCTTTCACCTTCCCAGTGACTGGTGCACCGTCCTCGTCAACGAAGCCTGCAGTACGGTCCGACTCGTATTTCTCACAGGCCCCCTCGATGGTGTCACTGACCTTGCGAAGGTAGTGGAAGAGCTGGCTTGCAGAGTGGGGCGGGCACCTCGTGAACACAAATTTCTCTATGCGCACGGTGATGTAGCAGGGATCGCAGACCCCGATGCACCCGTCGGCAACTTTAGTCGAGAGTTGCAACCCCAACACGGGGCCATTAACTCCCACTTGAAGCCAAAACACTACATTTTTTTTTCAGCCGAGGGCGATTGCCTGTGACCGTTCAAATTAATTACGAATTCAAAGCAGGGTCCAACCTCGCAGCTCTACAGCAGTCTGGCCCCATCGTCGCTTCTTCGTTAAAGTCGGCTTTAAGGTTCTGTACAGCCGTCAAAAACCAAAGAGGCAACTCCTGTAAAGGGGTAGACTCTTCGCTGCGAGAAATGAAGAGCGTAGCGAATGCCTTACAGAGGCCATCAGGGTACTCTTTCAGAGCAGCTGTACGCCACTTTCCATCCACTCCCCGGCCGATGCGGCCTCCAGCCGGCATCGCAGTGGTTCGCGTAGAACAAAAGTGGCGTTGGACATCTTCAAAGGTTCCACAATTGGCCAAAAGCAAATCGGTAGCTTTGGGGGACAAACCACCATAAAGACCTTGAAAAATCCGTAGCTTAACGCATCCAGGAAATCTCAGGAAGCATTGGATGACTTCCAAATGCCAAATAGCCGGCAGCGTCAGATCGTCATCCGGACAAGCCGGGTGCTCCAGGATCGCCAAGGCACCGGTGAGCAGAGCAGGCAAGAACAGTCTGAGCGTCACCCCCAGTAACTGGTTCCCAATCGACACCTGCTCAGTTTCTCGACGAGTCAGAAAGGTGCATCCCTGTAGCCTGCTCCGGCTGCGCAGCACTCGGGGGCCCTCAGCATTTGCTGCCCTTGCACGGGACCAAGTCTCACAAGGGGGGCCTGAAAGAAAGCCAGTGAGTACACGTTCACGCATAGCCCTAGCAAAAAGATCAAAAGTGGCAGGCTGAAGGAGGTTCCCCCAAGTCACATCAAATATAATATCAACTGAGATAGCCATAGCTTGCAGGGCTTCCACATGTTGCTGAAAATCGCCTTTTCGGCGAGCTCCCGAGAAAAGATGGGCAAAAACCTTAGGGGAATACCTAACTTCACTCGGAACAGGAACACGGAGCTCATGCATCAGCTCAGCTTCTCGTTGGAAGAATTCCATCGTCGATTCATTCGCAACCACAGCAGTATCAACCCCGGACATCAACCAGGCAGCTTCAGCCATCTGGCGGAACTGGCCGCATACAGCAAGCATGGTCAGAGTAAGATCTTCCCCTTGCTGCACAACCCATGCATCAAAGGCATCATGGATCTCGTCCAGATATAGAAACGTGGTCAAGGTGGCAAGTCGAAGTCGCTCTAGAAGGGGCGTGACTGCATCATCTTCTCGCAAGACTGCGCTCCATTTTTCTTGGAGTCGAAGGACCTCAGTGCCTGGGCCGTGGACAGCTTGCATATTGTCTCTGCAGCGAGGTCCTTCAGCCTGCATGTGGGGTTGTCGAAGGAGCGACTTGCGTCGCACCTCAGCTCTGCTGTTGACTGCAGGCTCAGGGCAAACAGTCAACCCTCGTCTCTGATAGAAATCAAAACAAGGACCACCCCGTTTCACATGATTAATCAGATCAGAATGGAGCTCATAGTGCTTCAAGCAGTGCTCACATTGTTGTCCGGTCACGTATGCCCTGGCCCTGTTCACCCGTCCATGCTTTTTAAAGGCATGTACCGCCATGTTGGCCTTCTTCGTGAAGGTCTTTTGACAGCAGAGACAGCAAAAGGCCGAGGTGTACTGCACCTTGGTTTCAGGCGGGACCACCTGGTATTCAATCAGCTTGTCCCGAATATCCTGGTGCCACGCAAACCACTCAGCATCAAGTTGTTGGACAGCAATGGCACGGGCCTGAAGCTTCCGCATGGTTCTCTTCCACCTCATCGGACTATGGGTCACAAAATCAGTCAAGGACGACCAGTTCTGCCGGATAGGCTCAAAGCTCCCAACTTCTGGGCAATATAGTTCTAGGCAGCTCAGATCGTGCGTCAATTGTAGGAGCCAAGAACAATCCCTCTGTAGGAGTGCCCAGAGGATCGGCTGCCCTGCCACTATCAACTGTCCCAAGTACCTTAGGCGAGCAACAGTCATGATAATCTTCGCTTCAGGCAGACTCAGCTTGTAAAGGAGCCATTTTCGGCTCCACGTCATCGCTGAGGCCCCATAATGCAAAACCGCAAATCGCTGGTACAACCTGTGGAAGGCGGACTCGATCTGGCCCTCCTGGCGTTTGTTCCGTGGTACCCAGACAGCAGCATTATAGGTAATGACGCTAAGGACAAGGCTGTCAAAGAACTGTCTCTTCCTTCTCAATGTCATAGCCCGATTGGCAAAAATCTGAGAGCGGTACTTTGTCATCGCGTCATGGGCAGTAGCAAATTTCACCTTTAGTTCTCTTGCAATTCCACCGCCAACTTGGATCCAGGTTCCCAAATGTCGGTATGCACCTACAACAGAAACGCTGAAAGGGTCAACCGCAGTGGTAATCGCAATTTTGTGGTCTTGGAATGCCAGTTGCCTTCGGCACTGTAGGGCTCCTTTACCTCGCAAGTCCAACAAGACTTCGCTCTTTCCTGGCTTGAGGTTTGGCCGTAGCCCCGCATTCTGCAGGCATCCAAAAAGGCAGGCGATAATCAACTCACACTTCTGAAGAAGGTCCGTCGCATTCGCTGCATCAAAGGCGAGGGCCAGGTCATCGGCCCAAACCGGCATGACCGGATCGAGCCAGGTGCAAGTCTCTCTTTCTGGAAAAGGTGAGGCCTCCCCGTTCCAGGCAACGCGGATGTCCGGGAAGTTGACAGAGATCGACTCTATTGCTGGCCCGACAATCTTTACCAAAGCAAAGCTGAAGCAAAGATCAGCAAATGAGTCTCCCGGCCTACTGCCTCGTCGAGTTTGTACAAGTTGATCGTCATCTCGCAGTTTAAACCACGTTGATTCGAAAAACTCACTGAAAAGTGCTTGGAGATGGGGCGAGACACCTGCCTCTTGTACGGCAGAGGGACGTTCCAGCAGTGCACAGAATTCTCCATAGCTTTCCGGTGGAAGTCCAAGCCGGTCAAAGAGCTGCTGCGCAGATCGGCACTCACCTTTGATCTGCACGATATGTTGCCGGAGCAGCCGATAGAATGCATTGGAGATATCGACAAAAACGATTGCACTTGACCTACCTTCACGAATCGCGTGCAGCTGATGCAGGCGTAGCGCATGTGCAGGCTGCGTCGTTCCTTGACCAGGAATCCCCCCTACCTGGAGTTGCATGCGTTTGCCCTCGAAAAATCGGACCAAGTCTTTCCGGTAAATTGAAT